TTTTGTAGTTAAGTTTATGAGATCTTCTAAATTTGTAAGGTTGTTAAGTTTACTAACTTGTAACAGTTTTCACTCGAGATCTCATTGTATATTCGATTCATATCAATATAAATCCAATTCCGCTTTATATTTTTTTTTCTCATTGGGTTTATAGACATTTTTTAGAACTATAGTTTCTTCTCCGAATCTTATTATATAAAAGAGAATGCGCGCGTGATGGGTATCTAGTTTTACCTATTAGACAACAACCAACCGTAAGTGCACAACGATCGAATTAGTACTTGATATCTCTTCAAACCAATTCAATGGGACGATTCCATCTTTTATGAGTAATCTCAGTTCTCTTGAGTACTTATCACTCTCAGATAATGAGTTTGAGGGTTTCTTCTCTTTCGAGCTAATCACCCACTTCTTGAATCTCAAAGGGTTGAAAGTTTCATCAAGATCTAGTTTGCTGAAAATAGAGACAGAGATCTCCTGGAAGCCAAGGTTTCAGTTGAGAGTCATTGATTTACAGAATTCCAACTTGGAAATGGTTCCAAGCTTTCTTCAACACCAGAAGGATTTGCATCTAATTAATCTCTCCAATAACAAGTTGACTGGAGCAGGAGCATTCCCCTCTTGGTTTCTAGAGAAAAATCCAAAACTTAGGGTTTTGCTTTTGCAGAACAACTCTTTCACCATGTTTCACTTGCCAAGTAGGCTACTTAACGACATATTGAAAGTTCTGGATGTATCAACCAATGAATCAGTGCTCGACATGTCGAATAATTATCTACAAGGTGTCATTCCAAGTTGGTCATGGGTGATTTTCCTTGCACATAACTTTTGGTTTCAGGTAATCTTTTACAAGGTACAATACCAAGAACCATCTTTAACATATCCGGCATTACACTTTTGGACCTCTCTAGGAACAAGCGTTCAGGGAAGTTACCACCGCATTTCAATTGTGATAATGTGGCTTTGTTGTTCCTTAATGACAACGACTTCAGTGGGCCGATTCCTGATACATTGTTAGAACATATCATGGTACTCGATCTGCGGAATAACAATTTATCAAGGACGATTCCACGCTTTGTGAGCAACATGTTCATTCAATATCTTCTATTGCGGGGTAACAGATTAACAGGTCGTATTCCTAAGGAAATCTGCAGTCTAAGTAGAATCAAGATTTTGGATATGGCGATCAATAGATTGAATGGGTCAACAATGTATCATTTGGAAGGACCTTAGGCTATGAGTTTAATGGTTATACATCATTATATGGCCTTGGTTTGGATAATAAATTGGAAACATATTCTTGGTCCTTGGTTTTACCCTCTGAGTTTGATCCACAATACATTAGTGTTCTGAAGTTCATATTTGAATTTGCATCAAAGAGTAGGTATGATTCTTACAAGGAAAGAAGTTTCGACTTCATGTTTGGACTGGATTTGTCAAACAATGAACTTAGCGGTGATATACCAAAAGAGCTACAGAGAATACCTGAAACCTTCTCTATTTAAATCTGTCTCACAATTCCTTTTCAGGTATAATACCTGAAACCTTCTCTAATATAACAGATGTAGAGAGCCTTGATCTTTCGTTTAACTTGTTGCGCGGACTGATACCGCATGATCTAACCAAGTTAGACTATATGGTTGTATTCAATGTGTCCTACAACAACCTGTCAGGCTCCATTCCAAGTCAAGGAAAATTTTCTACTTTGGATGAACTACATTGCTAATCCTCTTCTCTGTGGATCAGTCATAAAGAAAAGTTGTGATGATAACAACACTATCAGTTTCGAGGAACCTTATATTCTCAAAACAAAGATGAAAAAACCGCAATTGATATGAATTTTTTTTTACTGGAGCCTCGCAGCCACCTACGGTGTAACATGGATGACATTTATTGTGTTTCTTTGCTTTGATTCACCTTGGCGCCGAGCGTGGTTTCGCATTGTTGATGCTTTCGTCAATTTTTTCAAATCTGTTAGATTTGGTGTATTTTCGTTGGTATTTTAAACTACATATCATTGTTGATGCTTTCATCAATTTTTTCAAATGTGTTAGATTTGGTGTACTTTATAGTAAAACTAGGTAAATAACCCGCATATACTATTCTATAACCTGTGATAAAATATTTTGTAACCAGTGAAAAAATCAAATTCAAAAAAAAATAAACAAATAATAAATCACCCATGAAAATAAACAAAATAAAACCAAAAATATTGATATAAAATAATTTAAGATTTAATTTTTTATCTTGGTTGTTTTTCTTATTTGATTTACAAGTAATTCCTAAATTTTATCACATAATTAGTTTTTTCTATTCAAGTATAAGTAATTTAGTTTTTACTACTTCACTATTCTATTTTTTATATAAAAATTGAATTAGTTACTCATTTTCCTATTTGAATTTTTAAGTTTTATAAATATTTTATAATCTTAAAAAAAAAAACTGAACAGTGCAAGACACTTATAAAGAGGTCTCAATGTTATTAAGTTGTTTTGATTCTTTTATTATATTGTTTTTCATTTAAATTTGTCAAATATTTCCAAATAATTAGTTTTTTTTTATTTCTAATTGAATTAGGTTATTTTTTTTAATGTATCTACTCATTATCTATTTTTCTAAAATTTTGAAAAATTAAATCTCATATTTTTAGTTGCAAACTAAAATTACAAATTTGAATAAGATTTTTTTCATATAATTGATTCTCAAATTTTGCAAAAAGCGAATGATGCACAAAGGTTTAGTTTGCAATTTGCAGGAAGCACATGAAAATACTATAGTTAGATCGTCGTAATCTATCTTATCTATCGAATAAGAGGATAATTGATGTTATTTTCTAATGAAAAAGCTGAAATTAAAATTTGTGCAAGAGATTATCAAAGTTTAAAATTATTTGGTGAAAAGATTAAGAGAGCACAAACGGTAATTATATAAAAACAAAATATTATAATCTATGACGATTTGTGTATGTAAACCTAAGTCTATTTGAACTAAAAAGTTTTTACACGTGTATTATTAATATTGAAGAACAATCTTATGCTATGAAGCACATGTACTTTGTTTTGGTGCCGTCTCCCGTACCGGAAACATCCCGGAGATAGGTACGGCTCGGAGACACCACCGAAACGTCCCTGAGATGTCTCTAACATGTTAGGGACGTCAACAATTAACGGGGACGAAATCTTTCGAATTTAGAGATGTTTCTCAAACGTATTTTGTTAAAAATTAGTGTTTCCGTTGTTTTTATATATATTAATTATTATTTTTAAGAAAAAAATGAAAATAAAATGTATAACATAAAAAAAATTATTATGAAATAGGGTTTCAAATTTATTATACATCTCATATATAATCGACATTCGTTTTTTTTAAATAGTCTCGATTCTTGACTCTTTACAAGTCAACAAGGTTTACGTTACTCCAATCACCGTATGTTTTTCTATTTCTAATACATATTTTTCTTGTAATTTAAACTCTATTGTTAACGTCAAAATAAATCTAATTATTATATTGATTTCTTTTATACTGAGATTTATGATGTAATTTTCTTATATGTATTCATAGGTATTTTTTTATATATATCTATTGACGTATCCCTACCGTACCCGTATCTATAAATTTTTAGTATTACCGTTTTTCGTCCCGGTACCTGTCCCCGTTTCTTGTCCCCGTACCGGTCTCAGTGCAACCTAGATCTTGTGATATAATTGATTTTTATAATCTCTCTAAATACAAATGTATAAGTTAAAAAAAAAGATTTACATGATATAAGTGACAAAATTTAATTGAAATTTTTTTAATACGTGTCAAATAATTGATCGACTGACACGTGTTACAATCTTGTTAATTATCACGTTTGACAAATTTGATCCTAACGCATTTCCAAAACAGGAAAGAACTTCAAACTACTTTCAAGTTATTTTTAGTCACTGGTATGGTAATTATTTACATATGTGAAATGGCGCAAACCTCTACCATTCAAAAAACTTAACAGAGTCGCGCTCATTTCTCCATTTGCAATTGTTACTTTCTACAAGTTTCTTCTAACTCTTCTCCGTCCATTCACTCTGATCCAATACCAAGTTCTTCAGACTCCATTAACGCACCAGATGCCTCGAGTTCTTCATCAATGGGGAGTGTACGTTTTGAGCCATCCAACGCAACACCAAGAACAATATTCTCCTCTAACGATGAACTAGTACCTGACCCACCACCATCTCGAGCTTTTGGATCTCCGCTGCTCTTTTCGGTCCCCTGCCTTGCTTTTGGTTTCAATGTCTGCTCTGTTGCACCTTCACCATCAGAAACTTCATCCTTCTCTACTTTATCCGCATCTTTCTTCTTTTCTTCTGACTTCTGTTCTACTGGCTCGTCTGATGTTGATGTTGGTGAACCCTTAGTTCCTGTACTGGAGTTAGAACCAAGAGCCGCTTTCTGTTTCTCCTTTTTGCTGTTTGAAACCAAAACTGATCCGTTGTTTTCTGCTTCAGCCTTGGATTCTGATGGTTCTCCTTCAGAGTCACTTTCTTCACTTTTCTGCACTGAGTTAGGTGAGGACTTTGCGTTGTCGTCACTACTGATTTTGTAGGACGGCTCAATCAGCATGAATCGACGGTTCATAGCTGCTTGATTGAAAACAATGTCTGAAAATGCTGCACTGTCCACTTCTGCCTCATTACGCATTCTCTGAACTGTGCGAATGGGAGTTGCTAGTCGTGCTCCATGATGACTAATAACTCTAAGAAGATCAAGGAGTACTGCTTCCTGTTCAAACCACACCTTTTTTTATGAGATAAGCTCATGACATTTTATAAGGTTGATGATTCCTTCATGATACACATAAACACATGTAGATGCACATACGCTTATCCACAAAAAATGATTTCCTGGGAAAGTGATCAACTAAAGAAAAATGTGAAAAGAGTATAAAACTAATCTACTGTTTTACTGTTTTAGTATTCTCTTTTGAAATGTGAACACAAAATCGCATCCGATTCATAGGAGAAATGCACAATTTGAATGATTTAAATCTCAGCCAAAACAGGTCCAACTACAGCTATGAAAAGAGTATTTAGCTAGCGTTTACATACCTTAACACAAAGGTATTCTTCAAAACGTGAAGTCTTTACAAAACAGGATATCAGGATCTGCAACAATATCAGACATAGATATGAAAACTGGATAACGTGAAACAAAAACATATTCAAATATTAAATGTCGAGAGAGGGCATCTTCTTACCCTAAGGGCTTGGTTTTCTGGATCTATAGCCTCCAAAAAGACTCTTCTGTGTATTTTTTGCTGCTCGATTTGAGGATTTTTGGACAAAACCTTGCGCATATCAGCCACAATATTCTGCAAAGTAGGAAGTTTATACAACTTGTTACATTGAATGAGCCAACAAACTATAAAGGTGCAAGAATGAAAGGATGCTTGTAAAACAAAGATGTTTCTCACATTAATTTTGCTGACATCAAGATGACTGATTGCAAGATGTGTTTTGATCCGCCAATGTGTCTTCTGAGTCAGATTCCTCACGATATTTACACTGAACTGGTGGTTAGGAATATGAACAGCTTCACGGTCATCACCTCTGATGATTGTAGGTGACCACCAACCGACGTGCTGAAAAAGAAGCAAAGTAAATTTCTATGGAACAAAGTTCATATGTCAAAAAGAAGACTAGTCTTTGAATAAAAGAAGATATCTAATGCAGCAAGTGGAAACAAAATTAACGGACCTCTACAGTGCCAGAAACTTCATAGCCTCCTATCTTGGTCTGGATCCACTCATTCAGAACAAAGGGTCGTGTAGCATGAATCATAATGCTTGATAGAAAGTTTGTAAGTATCTGGACCATCCACAAAAGGTATTATTGTCCCACTGTAAAAAAGATTTAGTATGCAAAGGTTTTCCACAAAGATGGGACCTCACCTCACGACCAGCTAGAGTGAGCAGTACTGTCCCCAGACCCCCAGCTGTTAACCACTTTTGGGTAGAGAAACCCAACAGCTCCATAAACAATGAAGCAGCAGCTACCCACGCAGCAGTGTAAACAGCTTTTCCAGCAAAACTGAAACCCATCTGGAATAAACAGATAAACACATTTCCGAATAAACTTTGTGCATTTGCCAACTGAATTTTTCTACATCTATGATCGAAGGAGTTTATTCCTTCAGAACAACTAAAATAAATGAATGCAAAATGCATATTCGCATATTCACAGAAAGAATACAAGTTTGGAGGGATAAAATGCTATTTGTTCGTTAGAGTCACAATCTGAAGTACAGTATACTAAATCACATTCGCTAATGGAAGGATTAGATGTGATATGAAACATACTTAACTTCTCCTAAGAGGTAAATACTAAGAAAGATTCAGCGTAGTATATTAGGAAGACCAAGAACTCAATAGAAAAGAATGTGTCCAAATCCGTTTTAAGTAAAGGGAGACGTACATTTCTGGTATCAGCAGGATTATTTGTCTCCATAAAATATTTCTGCGCCTGCTGAAGTAGGCTGCAGAAATGACATTGCATAACAAGCTCAGTAATTGAAAAACCATTGGAACTCAATAAAGCTAAGTTATGAAAGATATACACGGAAACAAAACAGCTCTATTTCCAACTTACTGAAAGAAGCTAACTGCACAAAGGTCACTTAAGTGTTTTTGCAAGGACTTCAACAGTCAAGCTCAATGTAGCAATGTTCTTACAGTAAGAGTATAAAGAAACTCTTGCTCACCTTGACAAACAGCAGACAAATGCCAACACCGTTGATATGGACCGAGCAAAGCTAAGAAGGCGTTGTTTAATAGCCTGGCTGGCACTTGAAGACAATACAATTGGGTCCAATGCTCTGAGAAACAATTGCATATCGGTTTCAGTAAAAACAAATGATAGTTAAATAGTTAAAAAAACAAAAATATTGCCAACCTGCATAAAAGTAGTGCTCCACTCCAAAGCAACAAAGGTTGAAGATATGACACAACAATGTATTGTGTGGTGCGCTTGTGTGAATTTGCATCATTCCCCTTCTGGAATTAAAGTTGCAGCCACTTGAAATAAACTATAGCAAGTACTCCAGGAACGGAAAGTGAAGAAATATATAAGAGAGAATGACATCTCACCTCAAACAAGGTGCCTCTGGAAAGGCCCAGCAGTGGTCTAAGACCCCATGTAGCAAATGCAAGAATCCCAAATGCTGGGATTAGCTTCATTAGATGAAGATTTCCACGTAAAGCATCACATGCCCTGATATCAATGACGAACATTTCAGCTAAATTGGCTTCAACAATCAAAGTGTAAATGTATTTGAAAGACAGACCACATCCTACTCCCCCTATTCCAAACTACTGATCTTTTCCAGATCTCAGTTGCAGGCAAAAGAATGTGATATGTGTGTGTAAAGTTCGTCAATCAAGCACACTTGACTCATTTAAATGAATGAAGGTCCAAGCATATAACCTTGTGAATATTACTGCCGTAGATTTTAGAATGGGGCCTTCATTTCCATTCCCTGGAAAGAGAGCTGCTCGGCAAACAAAAGCATTACACCTAGATGATACAGGGGCTACTGAACCACTCAAGCTCTCCAGAAGCTGAAGACTCCATACATCTTGTCTCTAAGACAACAAGAAAGGAAACATATAATAAATAAAAGCCCACGTGAAGGTTAAATGAGAACAACAGCAAAGAATAAATTGAAACAATTTTAATTGAGAGCTATACATAGTTATCAGACTCATGGAGACAAACTTGAATACAACAGAAGCAGACTCACAAGCATACATACGAAAGATACTGACTAAAAGAATACTAAAAATCAAAGGATAATTCATCACAACACCAAATCAGATACACGAGGCAAGAAACTAAACCATTAAACTATGCTATGAGCACAGATGATACCGTGGCACATGATGAAAAAGCTGTTCGTGTCAGATACACCCGATTTCTACAAGCAACACTCTGCAGGAAAAGAAGAAGAAGACCCATGAACAGATAAATTGAAAGTGATCAAAACACAGGAATTGACAATAAAATCTAAAGTTTCGACAGACAAAAGACTACGTACATTATGGTATCCAGAAGCTTCGTGGATTTTATGAACATTGAGATCATGAGACAATGGTAGAGAGACCGTTCGCATCATCATCATCCCAAGAATTGGAGCCCCGTAGAGTAAAACAGAAAAGAAAATGGCAGTGGTGACAAAAGATCAACTAAACGAAGCAACCTGAAATTGAACAGTGTTACGATAGTTATGGGGAAATTTTTCAAAATTAAGAAATAGTTTCCATATAACTACAAAAGATTAGCATAATTCTAACTTGACGCAAGCAACCCAGACGAATAATTTGAAAATCAAAGCCGATCTTTGCCTAATCAAAAGCAGGATTACGATCCGATTCACATTACATCTTCGAATTCTTCTAGTTTCTCACAAAATCGTAGCCACAAATCAACCAGAAACCCAAAATATTTCACGGAATTTACCTACCTACGGAAATGAGAAAGATCGAGAGAGATCGGAAGCGAAGCAGAGATCGAGAAGAAGCAGCTCCAGAGATCGGAGAAGATCAGTGGCTAAAATCAGAGAAAACGGTGA